CCACTCTCCATCTGCACCACATCCTTCTCCATCTGCACCGCATCCTTCTCCATCTGCACCGCATCCTTCTCCATCTGCACCGCTTCCTTCTCCATCTGCACCACATTGCTTTGCTTCGCTGCTTGCTGCTTGCTTCTTTCTGCTTATCTGCATCTCATCCTCACTCCCCCACCCACACTCTTCTTCCCCTCCCTCTCCCTGCATCTCATCCTCACTCCCTCACCCACAATCTTCTTCCCTCACTCTCCCCCAACCTCATAAACACTCACTCTCCCTCTCTCCCTCTTCCATTTCTCCTTCAGTCCACCCTTCCTCATTCTCCCAACTTCACCATCCTTTCCCCTTCATTATCTGCTTCCTAATTCGTTCCCCAAGTCACTCTCTCGCCCCCACCCTCAACCTCACTCCCTCCATACCCACTGCCTCACTTTACCCACGCACCGTCTCTGCTGCCGCTCCTCTTATTGTGCTCGCATGAACCCGGCGAGGGGAGGAAGGAGAAGAAGACAGGGGGAGGAGCAAGGGTAAAAAAAAATCACTCTCTCTCCGCCATCCTCAACCTCTCTCCCCTCGATACCCACTCCCTCACCTTAGCCATGCACCGTCTCTGCTGCGGCTCCTCTCATTGTGCGCGCATGAGCCTGGCGAGGGGAGGAAGGAGAGGAAGGCGGGAAGAGGAGCAAGGGGAAACAGAAGCCACCCAGCCACACCACGCATATGCTCTCTCCTGCTGCTGCTCTTAGTGTGCGGGCAAGGGCGTGGTGAGGGGAGGAGGGAGAGTAAGACAGGAAGAGAGCAAGGGGAAGAAGAAGCCACTCAGCCATAGCCACGCACATGCTCTCTCCTGCCGCTGCTCTGAGTGGTGTGGGCAAGGAAGGGCGTGGTGAGGAAGAGGAGGGGAAGAAAGACGAACAATGAAATCAGTAGCAAGAGCAAAACAAAACAGGAAGTTACTCAGCTAGAGGCACGCACAAGCTCTTTCCTGCCGCTGCTCTCAGTGTGTGGGCAAGGGCGTGGTGAGGGGAGGGGAGGGAGGAGAGGAAGACAAGGATAGGTGGAGAATGTGAAAGGCTCATCCTCCCAAAGGTGGATCGTGGAGGGAAGAGGGCGGATGGAAGGAAGGTGGATCGTGGAGGGAAGAGGGCGGATGGAAGGAAGGTGGATCGTGGAGGGAAGAGGGCGGATGGAAGGAAGGTGGATCGTGGAGGGAAGAGGGCGGATGGAAGGAAGGTGGATCGTGGAGGGAAGAGGGCGGATGGAAGGAAGGTGGATCGTGGAGGGAAGAGGGCGGATGGAAGGAAGGTGGATCGTGGAGGGAAGAGGGCGGATGGAAGGAAGGTGGATCGTGGAGGGAAGAGGGCGGATGGAAGGAAGGTGGATCGTGGAGGGAAGAGGGCGGATGGAAGGAAGGTGGATCGTGGAGGGAAGAGGGCGGATGGAAGGAAGGTGGATCGTGGAGGGAAGAGGGCGGATGGAAGGAAGGTGGATCGTGGAGGGAAGAGGGCGGATGGAAGGAAGGTGGATCGTGGAGGGAAGAGGGTAACACCATACGAGCCCTAGACAATTTTGCACAACCACAGCGAAGCCACATAAGCCTAACATAACAATGCCCGCAGGCCATTTCAGCATGCAGCGTTGCAGCTGTCCGTGCATCCAGCAGCGTCAGCAGCACAAACCCTAATACAAGGCCGTGACCACAAACCAACTGCAGAACCGCACTCCACTCCACCCCACTCCACACCACCGCATGCGTGCAGCGCTGCAGCTGCGCGTTTCGTGGGTGCTACAGGTTGCCATTGCCATGTGGCGGCCTAAACTCGAACCCTTACTGGAGACCCTCACTGGAAACCCCCACCACCGCACTCCACTCCAGTCCACCCCACCCACCGCGTGCAGTGCCGCAGCTGTGCTGTGCCGTGTGGCGGCCTAAACTCGACGCCTGACTGGAAACCCTTGCACCTCCACGCAGCCATCCCACGCCACCTAACCCACTCTACCCCACCTCACCCCACCCAAACCCACTCCACCCCACCCACACCACCCCACCCACTCCACTCCACCCCACCTACACCACCCCACCCACTCCTCTCCACCCCTCTCCACCCACCCCACCTCACTCACACGACCCCTTCCCACCCCACCCCACCGTGCAGTGCTGCAGCTGCACGTTCAGCTGTGCCAGCAGCCAAAGCCCAACACAACAGCGAGCTCTGACTGTAAAACCCTAACTGCAGAACCTTACCCCACCGCACCCCACCGTGCATTGCTGCAGGTGTGCGACATGTTCCCATGTGGTGGCCTGAACTCTAGCTTTGACGGGGAAAACCTAATTCCGCACAGTCACCCCACACCACCCCACCTCACTCCACACCAACCCACCGTGCAGTGCTGCAGCTGTGTGTCCAGGCGCAACTTCTTGGTCCAGTCATGGGGACGAATGCACTGAAGCGAAGAGCTCCATAACGGGGATGAGCTCCATAACGGGGATGAGCTCCATAACGGGGATGAGCTCCATAACGGGGATGAGCTCAACTATCAATCAGCCTGCACCCAGAGCTGCATGTCCATCAGTACCTGCTGCTCGTGCAGCCTTTTGATTTTCGAATGGGAATGTCATAAGGGAAGCAAAGAGCTCTATAATGGGCTCACTGTCAATCAGCCTGCGCCGCGCTGCATGTGCATCAGTACTTGCTGCTAGGGCGGCCTTCTGGTCCTGTCATGGGATGTTATGAGTGAGGCGAAGAGCACTGTAACGGAGATAGGCTCAAGAATCAGCGGACGGTGCACAGAGAACCCACGTTGTTCGCATCAGATCAAGAATCAGCAGAATCGTGTTTTAAGTCGACATTTGAGTCGACTCAAAACACGACGCATCACATGAGGACCCACGTTGTTCGCATCACCTCAAGAATCAGCAGAATCGTGTTTTAAGTCGACATTTGAGTCGACTCAAAACACGACGCATCACATGAGGACCCACGTTGTTCGCATCACCTCAAGAATCAGCAGAATCGTGTTTTGAGTCGACTTTGTTCGCATCACCTCGAGAATCAGCAGAATCGTGTTTTAAGTCGACATTTGAGTCGACTCAAAACACGACGCATTACATCAGGACCCACGTTGTTCGCATCACCTCAAGAATCAGCAAAATCGTGTTTTAAGTCGACATTTGAGTCGACTCAAAACACGACGCATTACATGAGGACCCACGTTCTTCACGTCTGCTCAAGAATCTCCAAAACTCTTGCTTTTGTGGGAGGTCATTCACATCAAACACGCACCTCAGCTCAATTGGACGTTTATGCATTGCAGCTACTAGTTCACGTACTAAGGGAGCAGGACGTTTGTGCATTGGGCGCTCTCTCACTGTGAGAGGCCAGTCGCAACAGCGGTGCCATTTCGGAACTCTTGCTTGTGTGGGTCGTCATTCACATCAAACACGCACCTCAGCTCAATTGGACGTTTATGCACTGCAGCTACTAGTTCACGTACTAAGGGAGCGGATTAGAGCATTAGCTCACTGTTAGAAGCCATTCGCGACAGTGAGTGTCCATTCGCGACAGTGAGAGCCCATTCGCGACAGCGAGAGCCCATTCGCGACAGTGAGAGCCCATTCGCGACAGTGAGACGCCATTCATGACGCCCTGCTTTTGTGGGACGCATGCCAACATCACATGCACTGCACTCCTGGCGCTCGGTGCCACTCGGTACCGCTCGGTGCCACTCGGTACCGCTCGGTGCCACTCGGTGCCACTCAACGGTGCTCACCCATGAAGCAATCGGAATCACGACACGAAGACCCTAAAGCACCTCAAGCCTCGGGGATGCCGATACGGAGTGACAGCGCCCCACTGAGGCGGAACGGAGTGGAGCGGAGTGGGGAGGAGTGGAGCGGAGCGGAGTGTCATTCCAGCCCCACAGCACGCCCGAAAGAGGACGAAGACCCTGAGCGGCCCACCCATGAAGCAAACAGGAATCACGACACGACGACCTTGATGCACCTCAAGCCTCGGGAATGCCGATACGGAGTGACAGCGCCCCACTGAGGCGGAACGGAGTGTCACCCCAGCCCCACTGCGACGATCTACGGATTTTCGGCACGCCGATACGGGACGACGAGCCTAAGCGGCCCACCCACGAAGCAGCCAGGAATCCCGACACGAAGCCCTTGATGCACATGGAGCCTCGGGAATGCCGATAGCCGCCGTCGCAACTCGCGGCTTTACATGCGTTTGCTACGGTTTCGCGACAAACGGCTGGAATGGGGATATGGCGCCAGCTGGTACGCGGCACGAGTACAATGTAGAGGAGAGGGACTGCTGAAGCGTTTTAAGGAGGTTTATCGCCGCAAAAGCTGAAGACCATCTTGATAAGAGCAGGATTCTTCTAAACCAGCCGCGAATCACGGGGAGAATCCACTGACTATTTTTGGGAAGAGGCTGGTGTGACTAAGGCAGGTTCCCGCGTTACTAACCGACGCGCTAAGAGAGCAATCGGAAAAACATGAACTTTGTCAGTCACTCGTCTGAGTACATTTACCATCTCATTTTTATTGACGAGGTGGGCTGGGGACTTGTTATATCGATATACTAGTTGTTGACCAGCGTATATTTTCTCTCCTGCTCTCCGCCTCACGGCAGCCGTGGATTCTACCGCGACCCTGGAACTCGCTAATGTACCACCATTTGTTTGACGTTCCCGCTATAACCTTCACCATTGAGATCGCCTTCTTTCAGGGTACCAGTGGATATTTTTCAAATGTTCAAACAGAGAACATTCGTCCCTATCCCCTGAAGGCGAGCTGCAGACATGGTCTCGGGATTTTCAGGCAAGGTGTCTCCAAGGATGTATTTCGAAGGTCTCCAACCACCATCAGGGCTACAAGCAAGCAGTAGGATGCAGTCAGGTTCTCAACTACAAAGGATTTTAATTTCGTGCTCAGTTTCTGCTTTACTCCAGCACATTTCTGGCTCTGGTGGTTTTTTTCTCATCATTGCACGATGGCTCCCCGCGTTAAGAAGGCTGCTGCTGCTGCTGCTGTCACTGCAGCTACCGCTGCTGCTGCTACCGCCGCTTCTACGGTCAGTGCTCCTTCGGCTTCAGCTGTCCCTACCGCTCCGCCGGCAACAACCCCGGCCAAACCGAAGTCGTTGTCCAGGCTCCCGCTTAAGTCTGCGACGGCTATGAAGGCATCCAAGGGTCCCTTCAGGCCGACGAATCTGACTCTCTGACTCTTTCGGCGAAGCTTGCTGCTATCCGCATTAAGGAAGCTGCAACTGAAGGGAAGAAGGGTAAAGAGAAAGTTATTTTCAAGGATGCGGTTTCTGACGCTGTCCCTGAAGGGGAAGATGGGTCCCATGATGAGGAAGACGGCGTTCATGACAACGCTGACGACGGCTCGGGGCCGTCTGGTCTATCGCACCTGCTGAATGAGGAGGACGACGGGCTTATCGCCTACGACTCCGATGAAGAAGTGGAGGAGGCTTCGAAGGGCGAGATTGCATCGCGTTCCCGGTACCCGATCACTCTCCTGATTCCCGAGGAGTTCCTGCCAGAGGTCTCCCGCACGCAGGCAACAATCAAGGGGCTGGTGGGGATTCGGAAGGACGAGCTTTCGGATGAGGCTCAGATCACTACGACCTTCCAGGAGCTGGAACCGATTTATCTTTACAAGAAGCTTTATGGTCGCATGCAAGTTACTTTTGACAAGGCATCTGATGCTAACTTTGTGTGGCGTAACCAGGTTGAGCATAAGTGTAAGAACGGCATTTACGTTACCTTTGACTGGCAGTACCTGGCAGATCCTGCTTATGCCAGGCAGAAGGCGACGAACCCGGCCGTTATTGAGCTTTATTTTAAGGCGGTCCCTGCCGAGATCTCACCTGCGATGCTGCGTGGGATGCTGATGGCCCCGCTCAAGAAAAAAGAAGTCGGTGTTTAAGGAAGGGCTTTGCTTCCATCATGCGGTCATCTCTGTGACCGGCCTGGACACGGACAGGATCAAGGGCCTGGTGGTAGCACACGAGGGGGATTTATACCGCTGGAAGCATTACATTGAGAATCCCCTTAACAATGATGAGATTTTGCTGATCTATTACCCAGCGCTGAAGTGCAGTCTGTGTGGAGGACACCACTCGATCCACAACCACAATGATTTCGTCGTCGAACGGCAGAACAACATCTCCAAATGGCACCTTACCGTTGGGAGGGTCCATGAGCTGAATGGTAGCCGTGCCGTTTGCGTTATCGCTGGAGGACTTTCGGTCGTTTCGCTGTCATTTTTTACCTACCCTTTTACCCGGATACTCACATCGTTGCTCCGCAGCTGCTGCGACCACTGCATCAGATACGACCAAGATCATTCTCAAGGACCCATCCCTGGTGCTTATCTCAACCGGCGGCAACCGGGAAGAGTGGGTTTGTCTTCAGGACAGCTGCGAGAAGGGTCATGGCTCGTCGTTCGAGCAAGCCGCGCATCATGCGTTATCCCAGCAGCACTGCCATGGTGCTCCGAAAGGGGGGGAGTCACTTTGCGCGCTTAAAGGGAAGATCAACCTCAAGCACCTGAAGAAGGATTACGGGCTGTAGGGAAGAGGAGGAAAGGCGGAATCTTTCTCATTGAAGTGTTAGGGCCGTTAGTGTCCTTCTTGTCTGTACTTGCCTATTATAAAACTGTTGTCCATGTCTTGCTCAGCCCGTGGATGCTTGGGGCTTCTCAGAGGTTCTCCAATGAATAAAGCTTCTTACCTGACGATACGCGAGCTCAACGTCAATGGGCTCGGGAGCAGAGGGAAGCAGAAGCATTTGAAGGCATGGATTAAAAAACCACCCGATATCTTCGTCTTAGTCGACACACGCATTGGTGCTGACCATGATTTCTGGAAGAAGCTTAAGGTCCCCCATTGTCAAGCGATTGGTCCTGCGGGGAAGGCAAGGGGAGTGGCGATCATCAGTTTCAATAAAGCTCTTGTTTTCACTAACGTTGTCACGCACTGCTCAGGCTGGCTGCTTCAGGCTGATGTCCAGTGGGACAGCTTCTGCGGCACGATTCTGGCTGCTTATTTCCCAGCGAAGGCGTGCAGGCGTCGGCTTTTTTACGCCGGGGTGCTCGTGTTAGAATCTAGCAGCAGGAATGGATGAACTAGCAGGAAGATGGGTACAAGTAGGTGGGTTGTACCCCATATGGGCTACCCCACTACAGCCTACACAATAAGCAGCATATATGTTTGACACACCCCCATAGGCAAAGTGGGGGAGAACAAGGGTCACACGACCAGTCAAGAGAAGCAAAGCAAGCTCAGGGTGGATCACAACGTCACCACACTCTCTGAGCACAAGCAAAGGGCCACAAGGCCAGTTCACATGCAGAAGTATATATATATATATATATATATATATATATATATATATATATATATATATATATATATATATATATATATATATATATATATATATATATATATGCAACAACAATAGAGCAGTGATCACTACCTAGCAAGGGCAAGCATGCAGAATATATATATAGATCACAGTACAACCAAAGACTACAGCAAGTGTGGAAACGTAGGCACAAGGCCTAACAGGGTACAAAAGCGCTGATGATCACCAGACGGAAGTGCCTTGGTGAATATATCAGCAGTGTTGGCCCGAGTGGCCACGTGACGAAGACGAAGCTGACCTCGCTGCTGCAACTCTCGAGCCAGGAAGTAACGCAGAGCGATGTGCTTCGTTCTGTGCTCCAGTCTGTGCTCCTCACACAAGGCAATTGCCGCCTTGTTGTCAACGTACAGAACTGGAGGAGAACGAGGCCGCTCACCCAAGTCAGTCAGCAGGTAGGTGAGCCAGCGTAGCTCCTGTGCAGCCATGGCAGTGGCGTAGATCTCAGCCTCACAACTGGAGCTGAGAACAGAAGACGGGCGTGTAGACCGCCAAGAAACAGAGCCAGAGCCAAGACTGAAGGTGTAACCCTGTGACGACCGCTGTGTAGTCTGGTCGTCAACCCAAGACGCGTCTGAGTGCCCAGTGAGCACCACCTCACTCCGTCCTCCAAGCACTAGCCCCATGCCTGATGTACTGCACAAGTAGCGCAGTACCCTCTTAGCAGCAGCCATGTGCTCAGGTTGGTGCCGACCAGGAGCCACGTAGCGAGCCAGGAGGCCAAGAGGGTACGCGAGGTCAGGACGAGTGCAAGTCATCAGGTACATGAGGCAGCCAACTAACTCTGGGTAAGGACCACTCGGCTCTACGGACTCGTCCGAAGGTGGAGCTGAGAGCGAGTGACCTGTAGCCAGAGGAGTGTGCTGTGGGGAGGACCAGGAGAAGCCGAAGCGCTGAAGGACCTGCTGCACGAACACGAGGATGTAGAACGGCGGCAGTGAAGTGTCGGTGCGCAGAAACAGCGACGGGTCAGCAGTGGAAGGAGCGAACCCAAGAGCCGCAAGTGTAGTCCTTAGTGTGTCGTGCCACTCACGAGGTGCCTGGCGGAGACCGTAGACTGGCCGTCGGAGGCTCCACTGGGTACCAGGAGGGAAAGACCCAGTGAAGCCAGGTGGGCGGCGCAGCCAGATCTCCTCGTGCAGGCTGCCCTGTAAGAAGGCTGTGCTGAAGTCAAGAGAGTGAAGCTCGTAGTCACGCTGAGCGGCAACGTGCAGCAGTACCCGAAGAGTGGTCATCTTTGGGGTGGGGGAGAAGGTCTGGAAGAAGTCAACTCCCTCTCGCTGACTGAAGCCTCTAGCAACGTAACAAGCCTTGAAGACAGGCGGAGAACCCGGCGGCCGCTTCACCCTGAAAATCCACATGCCATCGACGATGTTCGCCCCAGGAGGGGGAACCTCATCGACGTAAGTGCCTGTGGACTTCCAGGATGCCATCTCTGCGTCCATGGCTGTCTGCCACTGAAAGGAGTACTCACCCGCGATCGCCTCAGCGTAAGAGCGCGGGGTCGGGATGTCTGGTGCATCCGGGTCTCCCTCAGGGGCAAGTAGCATGGCCACGAGATGAGGCGCAGCAGCCGCAAGACACTCAAGGTCCTCGTGCCTGTCCTCAAGGACGTCCGTGCTAAGAGCACACTCACCCTCGACGGACGGAGGACAGACAGACTCAGACTCAGCAACAAGACTGGCAGCGAAGTCTAGACGACAGGCAACAGCAAAGTCAACAAGCTCAGCGACTAGGGCAGACGCAGCAGTAGACTCAAACGACGGGTCAGTGACAACTGTGGCTAGCAGACGCGTGACAGTAGGGTGCTCAGCACGAAACCGGTCAGACGCAGGATCCGCGACGTCAGGCAAAGAAGACGCAAGGGGAGACGGAAGAGGAGTACGCTCCGGAGGGGAGGACCGACGCAGGGCTACAAGGGGTGTGCCGGGGACAGCCGGCTGACGCTGACGAGGAACACGACGAACGGTACGACAAGGACGAACAGGCGAGACAGGACGCGACGCAGGCTCACGACGCTCAGCAAGACTACCTGTCTGCTCAGTGTAAGGAGAGGGAGCAGGCAGCGGTGAGCCAGGCTGTAACGGAAGACCAGTAGACGACGGGAGAGTAAGAACCTGACGAAGAGCAGAGTCAGGCGGCGGCAGAGACGACGGAGACGGCGGAGCGAAGAACAGTCGTGTCGGCGCAGCTGCACCAGCACCAGCAGCTCCAGCACCTCCAGTAGCTCCAGCGTCTCCAGCCGCTCCAGCACCTCCAGCAGCTCCAGAAGCTCCAGCCGCAGAACCGGTACCTCCAGCGCCAGCACCTCCAGACTCAGCGTCACCAGTAGCAGCACCCCCAGAACCGGCACCCCCAGTCCCAGGGTCTCCAGCCGCAGTGTCCCCAGCAGCAGCACCCGCAGGCTCAGCACCTCCAGCCCCAGTAGCACCAGTACCCCCAGTACGAGTACCTCCGAGACCAGCACCACTCCCAGCTCCAGTGACGTCAGCAGAAGTACCTCCAGCAGCAGAGCCCCCAGCTCCAGAAGCGCGACGCAGACGGCGACCGTACCAGTCGTGCAGCTGCTGTGAGGTGACAGGCACACGTGGACGAAGGCGGCCACTCCAAGGAGACCGCGCAACAGTAGACTCCGAACCCTCAGCGTCAGCACCTCGAACAGCTCCAGAACCTCCAGTGCCAGCACCCTCAGCGCCAGCACCTCCAGCAGCTTTAGAAGCTCCAGTGCCACCACCCTCAGTCGCTCCAGAACCTCCAGCTCCAGCGCCACCAGCACCAGGACCTCCAGCAGCACCAGAACCTCCAGCGCCCGCACCCTCAGCAGCAGCAGAGCCTCCAGGAAAAACAGCTCCAGGAGCAGAGTCACCAGCTCCAGCAGCGCGGCCCTGACGGTCAAGGTACCACTCAACCCGCTGCAGGGAGGAGAGGGGGAGTCGACGACGAGAGGGCAGCGGCGAGGCACCAGCGGAGCGACTACGGAGACGGCCACTCCAGGGAGACTGCTCACCAGACGCCTCAGTACCCCCAGGCGCAGCACCCCCAGACTCAGTACTGCCAAGCTCAGCACCCCCAGACCCCTCACACTCAGGCTCAGCACCCCCAGGCTCCACACCCTCAAGCTCCGCACCCCCAGGCTCAGCACCCCCAGGCTCAGCATCCCCAGGCTCCGCACCCCCAGGCTCCACACCCCCAGGCTCAGCACCCCCAGAAGTAGCACCCCGAGCAGGACCACCCTCAGCAGGACCTGAGTCACCAGTGACCTCAACCGGCGCAGACAAGGGAGGAGGGTCTACCTGAGACACACCTGAAGGAGCAGGACCTGGAGCGGGGAGGGGGTCTACCTGGGGAGCACCTGGAGCGAGGAAGAGCGGCGGGGGGGGGAGCGGGGCAGTGCGGTAGGGGAAGAGACGGTAAAAGGGAACCGACTCGTCGAACGTGACGTCCTGAGACGCAAAGACACGGCGCGAGGTGGGATGGTAAAACTGCCAACCAGGCGCGTCAGGGACAAAGCCAAGGAAGACACAGGGAACAGCGCGGGCGGAGAGCTTGTCCGCAGTGGTATCGCGGACAAAGGCACGAGCACCCCAGACCCGGAAACGCGACGCATCGCCAACCTTCCCCGTCCACAGCAGTGTGGGCGAGGTCTCCGGCAAGGAGACACGGGGCCAAAGGTTGAGCTGATGCGCGGCGTACCGGACCGCAAACGGCCACAGAAAATGGGGGGCAGCCGCATGGATCATGGAGGTACGAGCGACCTCCATGACTAAGCCAATGCGGCGCTCAGCAACCCTATTCTGCTGCGGAGAGGCCGGAAGCGTGAACGACTGGCGGATGCCGTGCTCCGCACAGTAGGCTGCCAAGAGGTCTGAGGTGAACTCACCACCTCTGTCGGAGTGCAGACGCAGGACAGGAAAGTCCCGCTGGAACCGGTCGCGGAGCTGGAGACGAGCAGCGCGGATCCAAGGGATCAAAACAGCAGGGACGTCCCCCTTGCTCTGCAAGGGGAAGACCGTGGTGTAGCGCGTGTAGTCGTCGACAACCAGCAGGAAGTACCGCTCGTGGCCCTGTCCACGGACGCGGGCTGGGCCCCACACGTCCAGGTGGAGAGTCTGCAGGGGAGCCTCTGTGGGAGGGAACGAGGAGGAGTGAGGAGCGGCGCGCTACCGCCCCTCGACGCAAGGAATGCAGGGCGGCGCAGGCGAGGGAGGGAGAGCAGGCAGAGACCTGGGAAGACCAGAAACCAGGGAACGAGAGTGCATGCCATGAAGGCGAGGCAGGGAGGGGTGACCAAGGCGGTGGTGCCACAGGAGAGTGTCGTGCGACAAAGCGCGACACTCGCAGGGGGCTGCCAGCTGACCAGACGTAGACGCAGACGCAGCTACCTGAGGGGACTCAGTGGTCAGTGTGTACAGACTCGAGCCAGGTGCACGGGTGAACGTGGCCAAGTGTCGGCCCGTCCGAGCACACGTACAGTGAGTCACTTGCTGACTCGCAGGAGTGAACTGGTCAACCCCGCCATCCTGGAGGTCAGCTCCACTCACCAAGTTCGTAGAGAACGAGGGGAGGTAAAGACCTGACAGGAAGCCAGACGGGACGGCCGGACACGGCAGAACCGTGGAGTAGTGGGCAAGGACTGGACCCCCAGAGGGGTCCGCCAGGGAGAACGAGGGGAGGTAAAGACCTGACAGGAAGCCAGACGGGACGGCCGGACACGGCAGAACCGTGGAGTAGTGGGCAAGGACTGGACCCCCAGAGGGGTCCGCCAGGGAGACCGGGACTGACCGTGAGTGTGATGCAGTCGCGAAAGAAAGAGCGTGAAGCTCCTGAGTCAAGGGTGAAGGTGTGCAAGACCGCAGCAGGCGCAGTACCAGAGAGAGCAAACTCACCAGCACCTAGAGCAGGAGATGCACTAGCACCTAGAGCAGCAGCCGCACCAGCACCTAGAGCAGGAGACGCAGGAGCACCTAGAGCAGCAGCCTCACCAGTACCGGGAGCAGCAGGCTCTATACCAGGGTCAGGCGGTACGCACAGGTAACAGGCACGGTCAACACTAGTAGACAATGCATACATGGCAGTGAGAATAGCATCATAGTCAAGAGCAAAGATATCTACCCTCTGTCCAAGCAGCTCCACCCAGGTGGGGAGCTCAGCCTCGTCGCCAAACTCGGTACGCCAGGCGTCGCTCAGACGGGCGAAGCAGCGGGACTCTGTGTGACCAAGCGTCCCGCAAGGCTGACCAGTCCGATCACCTGTGCGAATGACGTACGGGCAACGAACTGTACGCGTAGACCTGCTACTCTGAACGTACCACTCCTGGAGCTGCCGGGACGTAAGTGTCTCGCGTGGGCGCCGCTGCAGCTGCAGCTGGCCACTGCCAGACGCCCCCAACTGACCAGCTCCAGGGCGACAGCTACGACGGCTACCGCGACAGCCCCAACTAGTATACCACTCACTAAGCTGCTGGGGCGTGAGAGACTCGCGTGAACGTCGCTGGAGCTGCATCTGGCCACGTGCCAGTAGCAGTAGTAGCAGCAGTAGCGCGGGCAGGGCAGGCGCGGCAGGCAGGCAGGCAAGCAGGCAGGCAGGCAGGCCGGCAGGCAAGCAGGCAGGCAGGCAGACAGGCAGGCAGGCAGGCAGGCAGACAGGCAGGCCAGCAAGCAGGCAGGCAGGCAGGCAGACAGGCAGGCAGACAGGCAGGCCTGCAGGCAGGCAGGCAGGCGCTCACCAAAGGCTGGAAGAGCAGGCGCTCGCCGGGCGAGCAGGGTCGGCGCTCGACGGGCGGCGGCCGAGTAGGCGCACGACAGCGGCGACGTCGGGGCCGCAACACCGGCTGCAGAGTAGGGCCGCGACAGCTGCAGGGCGGGACCGCTTCAGCGGCAGTCGCAGGGTGGGGCCGCGTCAGCGGCAGGTCGGGGTCGCGGCAGCTGTAGGGCGGGGCCGCATCAGCGGCAGGTCGGGGCCGTGGCAGCTGCAGGGCGGGGCCGCATCAGCGGCAGGTCGGGGCCGAGGCAGAGGGCCGCGCGCGGCTCGGCGCGGGCTGCGCTGACAGCGCGCTGGGCTGCTGCAGGCCGCGCGCGGCCGCGCTAGGCAGTAGCGGGCCGCGCGCGGCTCGGCGCGGGCTGCTGCGGGCCGCGCGCGGGCCGCGTGAGGCAGTAGCAGGCCGCGCGCGGCTCGGCGCGGGCTGCTGCGGGCCGCGCGCGGGCCTCGCGAGGCCGTAGCAGGCCGCGCGCGGCTCGACGCGGGCTGCGTGGGCTCGGCGCGGGCTGCGCGCGGCAGCAGCGGGCTGCGCGCGGCTCGGTGCGGGCTGCGCGCGGCTGCAGCGGGCTGCGCGCGGCTCGGTGCGGGCTGCGCGCGGCTGCAGCGGGCTGCGCGCGGCTCGGCGCGGGCTGCGTGGGCTCGGTGCGGGCTGCGCGCGGCTGCAGCGGGCTGCGCGCGGCTCGGTGCGGGCTGCGCGCGGCTCGGTGCGGGCAGCGCGCGGCAGCAAGGGGCCTAACGGTCTGCAGGGGCTGTTCGCGGGCCTGAAGGGCGTGTAGGGGCGGCGCGCGGGCCTTACGGGCCTCTAGGGGCAGCGCGCTGGCCTAGGGCAGCAGGAGGCAGCGCTAGGGCTGCTGGACGGCGCGCGTAGTGCAGCACGTCACAAGGCAAGGCAAGGCAGGCAGGTACGTGGGGTAGCGCGGTAACCGCAGCGGTAGGTGGGCCCGAAAAAAAAACGGTCCTACGGACCTTAGTGCTCTGAAACCATGTTAGAATCTAGCAGCAGGAATGGATGAACTAGCAGGAAGATGGGTACAAGTAGGAAACCCTAATTTGGGTTGTACCCCATATGGGCTACCCCACTACAGCCTACACAATAAGCAGCATATATGTTTGACAGCTCGTCCTTTCGTTGCGCATTCTGCGGGAAAGAAGAATTTCATTTTGATTGGTGATCTTAACATGGCGGAAGATCCCTTGCTCGATAGATCGTCTGGTGCGGGCTCATCCGGGGAAAACGACAGTGTGTTGCGGATTTGCTTAATACATTGCCTCACAGACGGCTTCCGCTGGATGAATTCGGTGCTGAAGGAGTTTACCTCCTTATCTAAGTCCGCCAAGACCAGCTCGCGCATCGATCGGGCTCTCATCTCGGCGCCGTTGTTGACGTTGCTCTCAGAAGCGTCGCACTGTCGACCGCTGAAAGGTCTCTCGGACCACTGGTTTGGTGTGAGGATATCCTTGAAAGTCAACCTGCAACTGTGCATGGGGCCGGGGATATGGAGGTGCAAGGCTGCAGAGGTTGGGAAACCGGGTGCGGCAAAAGCGGTAGCGGCGGTCTGTGAGGAGCACGCGAAGGCGGGGTCAAGCGATTTCACAGCTCTCATGAGGAAGGTGAACATGGCGCTGAGGAAGTATTCCACAGAGGAGCGTAAGCGGGTCAGAGCTACCCTACGTCACCTAGATACGGCGGTGTCAATTTTGCAGCAAGAAGTGATGCGGCATCCCTACTGCTCCGCCCGGAAGGATGAACTGAGGGTCAAGGAGTCTCAGCTGGCGGCCTATCTCGCCTCGGAGCAGGAAAGGTTGTCTCTCATGGCCGGCGCCAAGGAGCTGCAGGAGGGGGAGATGCCCGGAAAGCTCATGTCTGCGAAGAGAAAACAATGATTACGTCGCTGCAGTGGAATGGTGTGGTGCGGAAGGACTCGAAGGGGATACTGGAGGCTGCGTCTGAGTTTTACGCGAAGCTCTTCTCGGAACCTACCCCATCGACGGATAGCTCTCACCTGCCGATTGCCCCTGACAAGCGGTTAGGGGAGGCGCAAGCTCAGTTGCTAGTGGCGGAATGGTCCGAGGTGGAGGTTAAGGAAGCCCTGGACGGTATGGCGAAAGGCAAGTCTCCTGGCGCCGATGGAATACCGAAGGAATTTTTCGGTCACCACTGGGACTTGCTGGGGGGTGACTTGCTCGGCTTCGTTAAGCAGTTTGAGGAGTCGGCAACGCTTCCTCCTGCTGCTCTGGAGGCTGTAACCGTTTTGCTGCACAAGAAGGGCGCGAAGGACCGGGTGCAGAACTACCGGCCGATCACGTTGCTCAACAGCACATACAAGTTGGTGGCGCGGGTTCTGGCAAACAGTATGCGAAAGGTGCTGCACAAAGTCATTTCGGAAGAGCAGTACGGTTTCTTACCGGGGAGGAGGCTCGCCGATGGTGTTTCGTTGATTGCGGACATCGTTGAAGCGGCGAAATGCAAGGACGAGGACTGGTACCTGCTACTGGTTGACTTCCAGAAGGCTTTTGATTCCGTCTCGCGCAATTATCTCTTCGGCACGATGGAGAGGATGGGTTTCCCGCGGAAATTCGTGCAGTGGTGCGAAGGTCTTCATGCGGGGTCGACGACAAGGTTGCTGCTCAATGGCTGGCTGGGTGAACCGGTGGCAGTCAGGAAAGGGGTGCGGCAGGGCTGTCCGCTGGCGCCTTATCTCTTCCTCTGCGCGGTGGAGCCTCTCTGCCAGGAAGCGTTAAAGAGGAAGTTGGGAATCAGCAACCCGTACGGGGACCGTCTTGCGTACCTGAGGTATGCTGATGACACCACGCTAGTGCTCAAGGGGAAAAGGCAGATTGGCCGGACGGTGAAGCTGCTGAGTGAATTCGGAGAAAAGTCGGGTCTTCGGGTGAACAACGACAAGTCTGCGCTTCTGCCCCTTGGGAAGAACCTGCGCAAGAAACCAGACAAGTCGTCAGTCTTCAAATGGGTGCGGTCGAATGAAGCAGAGAGAGTCCTAGGGGTGTGGATCTCACCTTCGGGAGACGCGTCGGTGACTTGGGAAATCACCCTGGTGCGTGCAACGGCGGAGCTGGCGAAATGGTAGATACATTACCTGACGACGTCCGGGAGAGTCGCGGTGGTTAACGGGTACATTAATCCAATCCTTGCCTTCCAGGCGCAGGTTTAGCCTCCCCCTTCAGAAATCTGGGCGAAGCTGGTGAAGCTGCTCCACAATTTTGTCACCGGTAATCACTCTACGGCAGGGAAGCACTTCGCGCTCTGGAGCCAGGAGCTACTGTTCAAAGCGAGAGGGGATGGCGGTCTTGGAGTTCGCGACCTCTGTGCTGAGCTGGGGGGTCTGGCGGCTAGGAGGATCGCGCTGCTGGCGTCGCAACCGCTGGGACTGCTTGCTGACCTTGCGCTTGCGGCTCTGGATGTCCCTGACCTTCAGGTCTTCTGGGCCCACGCGGGGCTGATAAAGCAATGGGAAGGACGGTGTGAGAGGTGGAAGCGGACGTGTGAGCTGTTCCTAGAGTCTAGCTTCCCTTCGTGCATCAACGTATCATCGGTGTGGGATGTGGAACAGGAGATGCTGCTTTTCAATCGGCAGCTGCTTTTGAACGGGAAGACACCCGCGGGGCGGCAGAAGGCGGCTAAGTCTATGAAGCGCTCAGTTATGGGGGACCTGATCAAGGTCGCGGCGGACGGCTCGAGAGCCCTGAAAGACACTCAGGAGCTTGAGAGAGATTTCGGAGGACCGGAGGGTGTGAAGCTAGTGAAGAGGTTACTGGATGCTGCCCCGGATGAGTGGAAGCAGCTGCTTCTAACACCTGTCACGGCGCGCACGGTGCTAACGGTCTCTAAGTTCGTACTGAAGACGGGGACGAGCTATGGGGTCTGGAGGATTGAGAGCGTGGAAGGCGAAACCCTCGTTTGTCGGGCTGTCAAGTGTTTCCGGGGGGTCATGGGGGAAGCAGAAGAGAGGTTGTGCAACTTCCTACCGCACGAGGTAGTACCTGCAGTGGTCAGGGATGGTCGGTTTCTTGGCCCTGCTGGCGCCCCCAGGGCAAGACTTTTGTGCTCACCTATCTGGGAAGGTGACCGTCCGGCGCGCCTGAGGCAGCTCAAGGAGGGTTTCAAACGCTGCAGCGGAAAACCGAAGCAGCAGCTCACCTGGGAGGAGTCCCTCGGCCGTTCGATCGACTGGGGGAGAGTGATCGGTGTAAGAGATTCATCGGCTCTTCCGAACCAAGCGCGGGATGTGATGCTCAGGATTCACAGCAGGAACCTGCAGGTGGGGGAGCGGTTACATTTCCTGGGCGCCGGGGTCGCTTGCCCGCACTGCGGGGAGAAAGAGACACTGGAGCATGGGTTGTTTCTCTGCCCACGTATCCAGCCGGTGGTGCGGGCGCTTCTGAAGGCACTCCGCATGCTGAACCCTCATCGGAAAATTGAGTCTCTGGGGGACATGATTTTCAAGAAGGAGGGCACAGCTTCGGGTTTCCCCGAGGCTACGATCACAGCGATTTCGTTCCACCGAATCTGGGTTGAAAGGTGCGACGCGGTTTTTGAGCGCAGCAAATTCCGGGCGAGGAGGGCACTGCGGAGGATCGCGGCGTCATTCCAACTGCATGTCAGGATTTACAAGCGTGCTAAGGCGGCACCTAAGAGGCTCGGTGCCACTCGTCCGGGTCTGGATGATGACGAGCGCCGGGTCTTGAGTCACATCTGGGACAATTCAGCTCAACCAGCCACGTGGTCCAAGGGTTTCATGGCTATTTGGTCGAACCCGAGGGCTACTTTTTGTCCCCCTTAGAGGATCAGGATGGGTACGGAGGGAGCAATCCCCCTAGGCCCATCAGCTACAGTTACGACTGCCGATGTATCGTGCACTTATAGTGTATCTTGCATAAAAAAGCGCATATTTTCTCAGCTTTTTATCGAGGTGTGCATTGGAGGGGTTTTCTCGGCATGCATCAGATCGCATGAGCTGACCCCGTTGACTTACTGTCACTTACGAGGAAGAAATTTTTCTCGCGGCAAGTACTGTATTGTAATTGACCCCAGTCCAAGCTGTAGTGTCTGTCCCACCAGCAATGCTATAAGGGAAAAGGGAAATTTTTCTCACTGTTGTACTTGGCGGGAAAGGGCATTTCAGCTCACGTCCAATCCGCGTCGTTTTCACTCTCCTGAGGGAAGGCACTTTCCCTCATGTTTGATGACCTACAATATCGCGGATCACAGTGACGGCGGCACCTCCCGCCGTTTCCCCCCACCCCCAACCCCAACCCAAGGGCTGCTGGAAATGACGCAGGTTTCTGTGACGGTTTCGACTGTACAGTCTTCTGACAATTGGGGCGCAGCGCAAATGTCACCGTCACCAGGATGAGATTGGATCGGACGATTCGGCTGTTTTGAGAGGCACTTTTGCTTGGCAGTTCGAACCCAGCATCGAATCGCAAATTCGCGGCGCGCGCCAAATTAGGCGGGAACCTCACGTCCCAATCAATCCCGACGACATTGGTGATTCGGGAGAGACAGGCAAAAATCACTTGGGAAGTTCCGATTCTTGAACTTCAAGTACCGTGATTAGACAGACCAGTGACTAAAGGTTCCTGCGATTCGCGCACAGTATAGCTAGGTTCATAGCAACTTCTTGCGAGTCCGACATCTTACCTTCCCGTCCGCCATACGTGTTAGATTGCCGCGCTCTTCTCGTTCTCGTCCTCCATACAGTTTCTTGCGTGCTGATACTCGTATTTATAAAGCTATTGCATTGCAACCTAGAGCAATCAGCGATTTGCGCCTAATAGTACGTCACCTCTTCTCACAGCGCGACAACCGTAGTATCGGCGGCTGGAGCAGACTTAGGTTCAGCATCAGCGTATTATTAGGGAGCTCCGGATCGATCCTTCTCGCCTTACCAGGAAAATAATATTTCTCTTACACTCTTCACCTGCGCTGCGAACAAGGTACGCCTCTAGACCACGTCCCTTATCCTCTCTTCTCACAAATGCTGTAACTCAAGTTAGAGTTTACCTACTAGCCATGCCTGGCCGGATGGTTAAGCCTGTCCCTATCGATCCCAATCTCCGCCCTTGAAAGCTTGGCCCACGTCGCACCATTCTTATCTCATCCTCGTCTTATCCCCATCGCGTCCTCGTTGCATTCTCGTCGCGTCCCCGTCTCATCCTCATCGTACCCTCGTCGCGTCCCCGTCTTATACTCGTCTTATCCCCGTCCCACTCTCCTCTCGTAAACGAATTATCCCCGTCCCACCATCCTCTCGTTCTCGAATTATCCCCGTCCCAACCTCATCTCGTCCTCGCCTTATCCCCGTCCCACCCTCCTCTCGTCCTCGTTTATCCCCGTTCCTCCCTCCTCTCCTCTTCGTCGCTTGTCTCGCCCTCCTCGCGTCTCCTCGCGGTGACATGAATCCGACGCCTAACCGAGGCTCATAGTCCCAGGGGCCTGGCTGGTCCCCTCCCTCTTCAGATCCTCACGCAGAGGCTCTTGGGCTTCCCAACCGCCCGCTCGGCTAGCCGAATCTCAGAGTCGCAGAGGCTCGACTTATTCCCATATGGCCCACCCACCCCCTCCTCTCCCCCCACCCCACATGCCTGCACCCCCTCCCATCCCCGTCAGATCCTAGTACACGAGGACATCAGAAGCAGCACTGGCGTTTGATACATCTACCACGAAGCCTTCTAGCCGATCGCTCGGTAGAGCCACCATGAAGCTTCCTCGCCCCTCTCTCCTCCTGCTCCTCCTCCTCGTCTCCGTCGCGTTGCTTCCGCTCTTCGCCTCCTCGCGCACTCTTCCGCCTAGGCAGACGCCCACGGGGGGAGAGATTCCGCCGGCCACGGGGAAGAACACCACCGCGCTCCCCCGCCATCCGCGCCATGGGGGGAACGGGACGGTAGCGGCGGGGAACCGGACAAAGGGCGGGCATCCGAACAAGGGGCACCATCGGGGGAACGGCACTGCGGCGGGGGGACCTTCGCCAAAGCCGACGAACGGAAACGCAAAGAATGGGAATGCGCCGAGTGGTCAGAAGAACGGTGGCGCGCAGCCGAACAAGAATGGCGGCGGCGACGGCGGCGCACAGACGAACAAGAATGGCGGCGGCGGCGGCGGCGCACAGACGAACAAGAATGGCGGCGGCGGCGGCGCCAATAAGCCCCGTCGACCGAAGCAAATCGCTGAGGAGACCTGTAGCAGGTGGGTTGCATTTGTTTCAAAAATGCTTACGAAGGTGGCCTTTTTTTAAAAGATGACGTGCAACACGGTTTTTTATCCCATCATGGAACGGCCTATATCACATCAACCCTTCCTCCATCCCTGTGACTGATCCACCGCAAGCCTCTTTTCAATCCTCCCCACTATCCCCTCCTCTCCCCTGCAATTCCCTCCACTTCTCTCTTCCCACCCCCCTCCCCTCCTCCCCGCTCGTCTCCCCTTGACTACCCCTCCTCACCGTCCTTCTTCCCCTCTCATCTGTCCCCCCTCTTCTCTCCCCTCTCTCCTCTGATGTACTCCTCTTTCCTGCCGCAAACCACCTGCCGCAAACCACACTTCACAATTTTTTGGACCATTACCTTGAGAAACTCTCTCCCTTCCCATCTCATTTCCACTTTTCGACCTTCCAAAAAAATGTGTTTCCCGTCTCTTATCACTCCCTACTCAAATCATGCTTTCCCCTATCCTCCCTTTATTACCCATAACAGCAAGACATCTTGGCCAGAGGTCGTTGGGATGACTGGCGAAAAGGCTCGCGATTACATCCTCACATCGATGCCAGAGTGTAACTGGGACGTGCGAATTATTCCGAACAGAGGATTCGCCACGATGGATTATCGCACAAACCGCGTTCGTATCTTCCTTGATAAGGAGGGTATAGTTCGCGTTCCTCCAAGAATTGGCTAACTTTCAGAGGGTAACTGTATTGTAACAGTCTCTGCAATACCGCATGTTCTTACACATACACGTATAAGCTTCAAGGATTCCCCTGGCCTGGAAGTCAGAGGATATCAGACAGCATAGGCAATCACCAATAGCACACTGCCACGTGTTCTGACTCAGTGATAGTTGGATTAGAGTGCACCATTTGTATAGAGGCGCTTATGTATCTTTCGTGACCATGGCCCAATATGGTGACCTTATCGGGGGTCGATTGTTGTACTAGCCTAATGTTTTAGACTTAGGTATATTATTACCCTGATGCAATTATGGTAGAGTTCTTACTGGTTCCCTTCAGCACCAAAGTTTAGAACCTCTTGGCCCTGACTGGACAGGGTGTCCTGTCATGTCCTGGCGATCAGCCTTGTGGGAACTGGAACCTCAGTGAGGCCAGAGACTCACTCACTCAGCCCTTTCTTCTACAAACCAAGCAGCGACCCCACTGCCTCTAGTCTCTCCAGCAGCCCATACGGTATCGAATCCTTCCTTCCCTCCTCCCCGTTCGTCTTGCCATCACTTCAATCCAAGGTCCTGCTAGTCCTCTCTCCAGCCTCCCTCTCTCCAGCCTCCCTCCCTCCTCTTCACTCCTCTCCTCTCCTTCAGTTCCGATGGCCTTGAAAGGTGATTCGCTATGAGCCTGGCAGGCGTAGCCCCAGTGCAGCTGTGGGAACAACACACACGGTGTGGTTTGGCACAGGCGTGTTCTTGGTGTGCCTGTGTGAGGAAAACAGCCTTCTTCCAGCATCAGCCCAATGTTGAAGGATTCACAGGCTGCGCCAGGTGGGTTCTTGAGGCGCCTCAAAGGTCGCCTGTGTGAGAAAAACAGCCTTCTTCCAGCATCAATCAATGTCAAAGGATTCACACTGCGCCAGATGGGGCCGACCGATATTGTCGACGTGCTTCTGTGGTGAGGTGAGTCATGGAATGCTTCCGTTCAGCCTGATAACATCGTTCCTTTGACACGTGCATGATTCTTCCAGCGCTGATCCAACAGTCCCCCCTGCACACTTATCTTTCCTCCAGAAGCTCAACCATGACTCCTCCCCTGCCCTCGTCTCTCATTGTTCCACTGACACACGCATCATTCTCCCAGCGCTGATCCAACAACCCCCCCAGGCCTCCCCCACCTCCCTCCCCCACCTCCCTCTATCATCTACTACGGAGATACGGCTCATTTTCCTTACGGAGATAAATCAGTAGCTACCCACCTCCCTCCCCCACCTCGCACATTTATCTTTCCTTCATGCGCTCATCCATGATCCCCTTGCCCTCGTCTGTCATTGTTCCTTTGACAAACGCATTACCGTATTCTCCCAGCACTTACCCACCAGTCCCCGCTCCCCCCCTCCGACCCCCCCTTGCTCAACCATCTTTCCCCAGATAGCCCACCCATGAATCGCCCCTGCCCTCATCCCTCATCATTCCTGCACTCACCCTCGTTTTTCATCGGGCACCCATCCAGCAACCCCCCTCGGCCATGCATGAAGGCGTGCGTGTGTGTGAAAGCAGTGGAGAGTTTGGGTACACGGTAATAGCCACTCACCATCATTGAACCTGGACGTAATGATGTGACGTTTGAGTTGACTCAGAAGTTGCAGTGCATGATGGTGTGTGTGAACTAAATGGAATTTCTGGGCAAACAGTAGCAGCCACTCATCACCATTGGACCTGGACGTTTCAAAAACAAGGGTGAACAATGGGAAGAGATGGAGCAGAGGAAGAAAATGCATGGCATGCTCAAACAGGAAAAGGCAAAACAGAATTATGGTCACTGGTCCTCACCCCATCAATGAGCCGGGCAGATGTTTAACAATGACAGCAAGCATATGACAATGACAGCAAGCATATGACAATGACAGCAAGTATATGACCATGACAGCAAGCATATGACCATGACAGCAAGCATATGACCATGACAGCAAGCACATGACCATGACAGCAAGCACATGACCATGACAGCAAGCATATGACCATGACAACAAGCATATGACAATGACAGCAAGCATATGACCATGACAGCAAGCATATGACCATGACAGCAAGCATATGACCATGACAGCAAGCATATGACCATGACAACAAGCATATGACCATGACAGCAAGCATATGACAATGACAGCAAGCATATGACCATGACAGCAAGCATATGACCATGACAGCAAGCATATGACCATGATGCTCACACGTATCCCTGTGTGATGTAGCGAGGCTTCTTTGCAAATCATGGCAAACGGAAGGGTGCCTCTGCAATCGCCTTACTAACACCTCTACTCAACATACTGTGATCCTCTCTTTCGCCTCAGCCTTTGGCCCTACTAGTGCGTGTATCACTCACTGCTCCAATTGACTAGCCACTGCTGCTGCCACCGCTCCCTCTGCTGGTCCTGCCGGGGCATGTGAGCTTGTGGGAGGGCCAGTGCGCCTTTTGGCACTCTCTGCTGCAATACGCCACCTTGCCACACCCACTGCAGCTCTTCAACTTCACACTGTCACCACAATCCACCGTCCGACACCCCTCAGCACCGCATACACGCCCCTTAAAAGCAGCAGGACCAGCACCTTTCAAAACGGAAACTGGTGCACTTGAATGGTTTGCTTGCATCACTTGACCTTCCACTCTCCCTGAAACCCCCACCCCCTTGGGTCCTCCTGCCTTGTCTCCTCCAAAGACCGCCTCCTTTTAAAACCCCCACCTTCTCACGGCCTCCTCGCACTTCTTTTCATTGTCATTTAGAATACACCGACACCTTTCGACACCACCATCAGCAGCAGCAGCAGCAGCAGCAGCAGCAGCAGCAGCAGCAGCAGCAGCAGGACATGATTCGGTATGAATCTGAGCCCTTCCCCTTCCTCCATCGCTCCTCCGTGTATCTATCTTCGCCTTCAATGCGGCGCTTCCTCCTTATCGTCGCTACGTTGTCTAATGCAGTCCCACTTGCTGTGATCCTGGTGATATGCTGACAGCATCAGCAGCATGAGCTGCGACAGCAGCCCAAACAGCAAGAAGTGAAGCGGTTTGAACAGCACGAGGGACAGCAGCATTAGAAATCCCACTGCAGCGAAAATTGTCTCAAGGAGAGGAGAAGCAGGAGGAGGAATAAGCACTATGATGGTCGACCCAGATTTCAGCTTCGCTTGTTCCACAGTGGAGTCAGGAGAGAGGTAGACCTGCTCGTGCCCTAGGAACTCGAACCGGACCTGCTGCTTCTTAACCCCCGAGATCAGTGCGTTCCACGAATCTTGGAATCCCTGATGCTGATATGGAGCGGATGACAGGCAACAGTTGGAAAGATGGGACCGCAAAAGTCTGTTGAAGACTGATCCGAGAAACTCGTTCGGAGAGACAGTGAGGTGAATGTCCACGTGGGGTGAATCTAACGAGACAGGTAGATTGTTTCCGGAATAGGTGTTGAAGAAGCTGCTCGTGTCGTCACTATCGCGGGTGCATGATTTTGCCGATGCGTCGCCTCGAGGCGCGCCTGATTCGTGTTGAATCAGAGCCGATAGTACCCTGAATCGGATGTTGAAGGCCATGAGAACATCTTGCAACGGACAATGGAGTCGCGATTTTTGTCATACGAGTTACTGCATGATAGGTGACAGCTTCAGAAATGAATACGGCCTTTCCAAAAATGTCGGACCTGCCTATGTTTCCTGAATGGGATCTCACGTATCAACAACCTTCACGCAGTGGATCCGATGTGCTTTTCAAGTCGACAAAAAAAGACGGGAATGTCGGTTCCACCAGCCGCATAACATGCCCCAAGCAGTCAGTCTGAGATCTGAAAGATGAAAAGAGAAGGATTCTTGCGCGTAATTCCTCGATTTGAGGCGCCATCTACAAGTATTCAAAACACTCTACATGAATCAGTCTGAAGTCGTTGAGTGAAAAAAAAGCAGGTGTATAGAGTTCAGTTCCGGATACCGTAATCACCCGGACATAACACCCGGGGGTATTATGATAACCACAGGGAAAAATGGGGGGGGGGGGGGGGGTGCTCTCAACGGAAAATCCTATATAATACCCGGGTGGTTATATATGGCACTTTTTAGTGTAAGAAAAAAGTTCAATCAGACAATTTGGGTGTTTCAATACTCGTTTTAACATCACAGGTTGAGGCGAGAATTCGCGTTTTGGCGAGAATGTGAGTTTCACCTCTCGGGCCACGTGCAGCGGAAGATTCGCCAGCGTGGCGACAGCGAGATTGTGGAAGGGAGGGAATCTCGGTAGATTCGAAGTGAAAGTGCACGCGAAATTTCATTCAGGAAGCGATTTTCGTCATATACTTTCGTAAAAAATCTGACTCGATAACAGCTATAATAGGGTTTCGTAAGAAAAGGGGGGTGTTATAGAGAATCACCCCAAAAGGGGGGGTATAGTACAAACGAGGTCGGCTATAGCACCCCCCCCGCACAAGCTACCCGGGGGTGTACTATTACGGGGGGGTGTTTTGTCCGGGTGATTACGGTAGCAGCATTCACCATCACCCCGGATAGTAGCGCCGTCCTATTAAAAGCGCCGGCGCTTCTATCTGGAGCCATGCGCTTATGGCCGGTCCTCAATTATAAGCGCCCCCCCTGAAAAACCTTTACATATTATAAGCGCATGTTCGATTGTATTTCCAAAACCTGCTAAAAACGGTAACGAATCTCATTTCTCAATTTCATTCTCGCTTTGTTTGACTCGCGAAATCTTGACTGCCTGCGCGTCCAATCAGGATGTGCTGGCATGACGTGTTTTTTACTCAGTGTTTTGGCAGAGTACAGTATCGCTTCCACGCTGGCAGATACCCCTGGACTCCGTAAAACGGAGACGTTCTCGAGACCAGTCTACACATCTTCTTTGAATGCAGTAACGCTATGCGGATTACGGCGGCCCTAAAACGTACCGCTCAACGACACCTTCGTATTACACTCGACGAAGACGCGGTGTTCTTTCCGCCTGCCCGCCCTGAGGGGAACATCGC